AAGGAAAGAATAATCCATTAATTGGATGGTGAGATTACAAAATGGTTATGTTTAGAAGGTTCTATTGAAGGACGTAAATGCTTTGCCTTCTATGGCTGATTCCACTCAAAATCCTCCTCACCTTCCTCTCTTTTAGTCTCCTTTCAACCGAACGTGTTCTTGGTTCATGCCATCGTTATAGTGACAGGCGTTGCCTATTCACCTTCAGGCGCCAGCCTCCTCCGTATACGATATCACGATGTTACACGAATCTATGCCATTCGAAATTATGGAGCTATTTTGTTGAACCCATTGCATTGGGAGGCATCGTTGTTACAAAGTTGTCTCGAGATTCTAGGTAGCGTATCGTGTGCTGATGATGAAAAATGGAGAAGATCATATTACCAAAGTGTACTAATCCGATCCCTTTTGTTGCTTTGATGTCCTTCGTTCTATGCTCAATATTGCTCTTCCTTGATTACACTGCCTTGTTTGAAACAAGAAGAAATGAAGCCACTGCCATAACCGATGATTATGCAAATTCATCACAACCCATTTCTCTAAACGACTCCATTGATCCAAAACCAGAAGAAACCATTGTCGAAGCTGAGATCATGAAAGAACCAGAAGAAGCCATTGTGAAAACTGATATCAGTTCTTCCTCCATTTCGCCACCAGCCAAAAGATCAAGAAAAAAAGCTGCTCGTCACAAAGAAAGATCCAGCAAAACCAAAACCAAAACCAAGACCAAATCAAAAAAAGCCCGATTCAAAACGGAGGATTCCTCATGCAAAGGGAGATACATTTACATTCATAATCTTCCCAAGAAATTCAATGAAGGTTTGGCTAAGAGCTGCAAATTACCTCATATGAAATGGTCAGAAATCTGCAGATTCGTGTGGGAAAACAGGGGATTAGGCCCAAAAGTTGAAAATTCCAAACGAGTATTAACCGATAAAGGATGGTATTTCACGAACCAATTCGCATTGGAAGTGATTTTCCATAACAGAATGAAGCAATACAAATGCTTAACGAAGGATTCCTCTAAAGCCTCAGCGATTTTTGTGCCGTTCTATGCAGGGCTTGATGTTGGACCTTACCTTTGGGGATTCAATGCCTCAGTAAGAGACGAAGGGTCAATTGAAATGGCGAGATGGGTATCACGAAGAACAGAGTGGAAAGCCATGTGGGGTAGAGACCATTTCTTGATTGGAGGAAGAATCACTTGGGATTTCAGAAGGGACAATGGACAGGAATCAGATTGGGGCTCAAAGCTCATGCTTTTACCAGAAACCAAGAACATGACGATGCTGACAATCGAAACAGCGTATTGGAACAATGATTTCGCAATCCCATATCCCACTGACTTCCACCCTTCAAGCGACTCGCAAATCACAGAATGGAAGAAGAAGGTGAAAAAACAGAGGAGGCCCTTCCTTTTCGCGTTCATAGGAGGGCCAAGGCCATCGCAAGAAACCTCCATTAGAGGGGAGCTGATAAGCCAGTGCAAGGCCTCAAAAAGCTGCTCGTTTTTGGCCTGCATCCCTGGGGAGAAGAAATGTGGTGACCCAGAGACAGTGATGAGCACGTTTTTGAGCTCTGTTTTTTGCCTGCAGCCACCAGGGGACTCATTCACGAGAAGATCGATCTTTGATGCCATTATAGCTGGATGCATTCCTGTTTTCTTCCACTCTGGAACGGCGTATGCTCAGTACATTTGGCACTTTCCAAAGGATCACAAGAAGTACTCTGTTTTCATACCGATGGTTAAAGGGAAAGAGGTGAATGTTAGTAAGGTTCTGGAGGGAATCTCTGGTAAAGCAATTGTGGGTATGAGAAACCAGTTGATAGGAATGATTCCTGGTGTGATTTATGCAGACCCCAGATCGAGATTAGAGGGTTTTGAGGATGCTTTTGATATTTCTGTTAAAGGGATTCTTGAGAGAGTGGAGAGGGTGAGGCAGGGGATTAAGGAGGGTAATGATCCAAGCATTGGTTTTGCTGATATGAACCCTACAAAGTTTGAAATGCTTAGACTTACATGAACAATTCAATTCCTTCCATGGTTCATTCCGTAAATATAAGAGTCGTGAACTAGAACAGTAAACGATACTCTAATATTTTTACAGGTGAGTAAACTTGTATCATTGCATGGAATAACTTTACATGTAGGTTATTTTGTTCGCTCTACTCTAAATTTAAGTGTTAATCATGACGAAATGGAAAACAATGAATTTAGATAGAGTAGGAATATGTAGGTCTGTTTAATTCAATCTTATACTAGTTTAAGCCAGAATCGATCCCATAAAGCAAGACGAAGACAAGTTATCCTTCAACTTCGAATGAATAAACAATTTCTCGAAGAAAGAAGATGAACATAAATTTTTTTAATAATTAAAATGTCCCATATTAGTTGGGTTGTCAATGTATTTGGTAAGAGCTCCATTTATTATTATCAAAAAAGAAGAAAGAAAAAAAAAAGCTGAATTTATTAAAGTTACTTACATCACCAAAACCCACTCCATAGAATTCTTTCTTCCTTTTTATTTTTTTATTTTTTATTTTTTATTTTTATAATTAATTAATTTTACTTCTAACTCTATGAAGTCACTTAGTTGGCTATCTAAATTTCAGCTATTAATAAAAATCTCTTAACCTAACCTAACTAATAATGAGAAGAAAATATTTTTTTAATAATTAACGTTTCAATAATTTATCTGTAACTTTTATTTTATTTTTTCGTTATTATAACTAACAAAAAGTTGATTTTATCTTTTCTACCTGTCGATATGAAATTATTTATTAATTATAAAGTCGATGTGACATGAATTTATTTCATACGAAATACTAAAATAAAATTTATTAAATAGACGAATATAAAAAATAAAAAATAAAAAACAAATCAAAACATAATTTTAAAAAATCAATAAAACTAAAATCTATACCCTACAAAGAAAATTAAAATTTTGTATTTAATATTTAAAAGGAAGAAGCTAGTTATAAGAAATTTTAGCAAATAATATGGAATAATTTTAATATTTGAAATTATAAGGATTAATTTGCAATTAAACGGAAAAAGAAATGTTTGGTGGAGCATATTTGGTAGCATAAAGAGATGAATTGAAAATACGAAGGAATGATATGAACCAATGAGAAAATCCACCCACTTTGAAAATACTTATAAATATATAATAAATAACCTGACCCACATGAAATAATAATGTATGAATAATTTGACCTAACGCTTACCATCACTTGACTTGAGACTTATCTTTTGCTAATCACTATTCGTCCAAAGAAATGTTTCAATTGATTTTTGTGATTCCATGTGTTCATCATCACAGGTTCACCGATTGAAATAAACTTGATAGATTAATCAATTAATATACTAAGAAGTGAATCCAAAATCTGGAATATATCACATGGACTAGGAATCAATTGACTGTGAATACTGAAATCATTCAAACTAACACAAATTACAACAATATGGCTTCGCCGAATCCGTTAAACAGAAACGCAACATGAAATCGATCTCGAGATTTCGAAGATGAGTTGCAGACAGAGCAGTAAGAAACACAAGCAGAATCAAACGAAGAAACAGAGAATATATACCTGGAATTTCGAAGAAGCGCGATCCGATTGCGATTGCGATTGCGATTAGGGAGGATTAGAGGTAGATGTGAAGTTGAAGGACGAAGGTGAAGAGGCAAATTAGGGCGAAGAAGATGAGGGAATGGATGAAAATGGAGGCGCCGCTGGTTTGGAAGTTGCCGAACTGGATGAAATGATGGTGGCCGGGGACTTGAAACAGAAGGCCAGGGGATAGTAGAAGAAACAGAACCACAGCCACGAAAACTGGGCCCCAATCCGCCATAATTCCTACCTTTCTGTGCTTCGGTTTCTGAAATCTGACTCATCGAGTGCGCCTCCGCCCACCGCCTTTTATATCTGGTCGTGATACGTGAAAATGCCCTTTTTCACTTTTTACCCAGTTTTCGAAGCAGTCTCATAAATGTGACAAAGTCTTTAATTTCTGAAGGCTTGGTTTGTTCGATAGGTTAGAACAAGTGTTGTATAATTGTTGTTCCGTTGTCATAAGAGTGCGATTGTGACAAGTGGTATCACTGTATAACGAATTATTCTTGCTAGATCTTATTGTATTTAAACGAAAAGCTCGTTTGAATGCCACCTGTGTAGACAAGTTTCTTCAAATCATTATTACTCCTAAAAAATACAACAAAACTCGAACTCGTTCTTTTATTTGTCTGTATTCTTTGTTGAACTTAAGCTTTCATTGTCACTTCGTATATTAGTATCTACACTTTCAACATCCACAACTAGACAATAATCGTGGTATATGTCATTTGTTTTTTCCCGAGCATTCTATCTTGAATGCCTCACATTAAATTAAGTCAATTAATAAATTATTAGTAAAATAAAAAAAAAAATCATAATTTTTAGATTTAATGATTCCTATCCTTATTCAATCATACTTCAATCAAGTCATTGTATATAAAGTATGGATAGAGGTAGCCATTAAATAATGCAAAAATTCACCCATATGCAAAGTGTGTATATATATATATATATATATATATTTAATTAATCCATATGCAATACTTATAATAAATAATATGACGACCCACATGAAATAATAAATTAGTAATTTGGTCTACCTCCTTACAATTTTCTATCTATCTTTCACACTATTATTTTAACAAATTATAGCAAAATTAAGGGAGAAATTATAATTTCAATATAAATATTAATAAATAACTAAAATTTATTTTGGGTGTGGGTGAGTTTTCAAAAAATTAGTCTGAGACTTAAACGAGTAGGATTCAATTCCTGATGGCCCCATCATGCCCTCGCACTCCATGTTTCATTAACGTATCCATCTTTTACTCAAGTGTGGCTTAATTTTCTTGAATTTAGGTAAATTTTGATTTTGATTTTAAAAGAAAGAGTGGAAGAGACGGGTTAAGAGAGAAAAATCTATGTCGGGAAAAGGATGGAGAGAATAAAAGCAAGAATACAAACATAATCTCACGTCAAATAAGGAGAGTTAAATAACTACAACATCGATACAAAGTGGTGCGAAACGAAAATAAAAATGATGAATTGAAAGATCCATTACAAGTAAGAATGGATGAGAGAACGATGGAATCAGACGTAGATATGAAGATGGAGGACGAGAGTGAAGAGGCAAAAGAGAGCAAAGAAGATGAGGGAATGAAGAAAAATGGAGGTAGCGCTGGTCTCAAAGTTGCCGAATTGGATGAACTTGTCGGCGCCGTGGACTTGGAACAGAAGCCCCGGCGATAGCAGAATGAACAGAATCACTGCCACAAGAACAGGGCCCCAATCCGCCATTCTTCTTCTTTCTCTTTGCTTTTGCTACTGTCATCTGCCTCTGGTTTATGCTGTTTTTATAATTGGGCGTTCTTCAAAACATGACAAATTATAGGTGATTAGAGATGTATTTAATTATACCACTTTCATTGGACAACGACTCTATTCGCTTTCATATTAGCATACGTTACTTCAACTAATTATATAAATAATCACAACCATTTATATAAATAATTCCTGGATTAACTCATAACTCATAATCTACCATCTATTTAACTTGCAAGATTCCAACCTTACAAGTACTTACTTCGAATGGGTAAGAATGAAAAATAAAAGAAAATTATACTCCCTCCCTAGTAAAAATAATTCCTGTCAAGAACCCAATCCAAATTTTCCAACTCTCCCTACAAAAATAAATGAAAATTTCATCAATAGAGATTGAAATAGGTGACATAAACGAAAACGATTTCTCATCCCTATTTCATAGACACCTCTATTATAGCATCTACAAACAAGTACTTGTAAGCTCAGGATCCCGTTAGCTATTGCCTTTACTCGGGATCCCGTTTAGCTATTGCCTTTACTTTCAGCTTGGCTTTCTCTCACTCGATCAACATCAAACGTCCTTCCCATTCCATTCCATTCGATCACCAACATGCTCCATTGTGTGATGCCGTTGTGGTGGAATCAATTTTATTCTGAACATTCATATTTCAATTTCCATGTCGTGGAAGTTCTATCAACATTATGTGATGAATGAATATAAAACATTATTTTTTCCACAGGTATAATTGCATATAATACACTCTCATTCGAATAAGCACACACTGTTTCATCACTTGAATTGGAAGAGTATTGAGCAAATCACTAGAATTTGAACAAAGTAATCTACTTCATCAATTCTCAATGACAACCAAGAAATTCAACCTTGCATAGGCACACAATTTGAAGCATAAGCACGATAAGATATAATCCAAGTTCCAATTTAAAATGTCTAAAAAAACTGAAGGGTGATTAACAAACTGGTTGAATAACCTCACATTTCAGGCCTCCCAATGCCATGAACTAATCTCAACTTCAGGCATAGTTCAGTCGGAAAATGTCATTCAGCACATAGAAGCTTCCCTGTGGGGTTGGCATCAAATGGAACATCTAAAAGCACAAAGTAAATACATTTTGGTTAGAAATATTTACTAAGCAATTTAAGCCCTTTAAAACTCAAGGACAGAGTTGAACAACCTAACCAAATCCTACGAAGAACATGGATTCACAGCTAACAACAAAAAAGAGAATTGTTCATATCGTTCAGCCATAAGTTCATGTCCTGTAGTTACCTATTAAAAACTGTGCCTTCTTTTCCAATCTTGCACATATATTAACAAATTCTAAATTCTTTCTTCCCAGAAGTTCTCGACATAATTGAATTTGTTTCATAATGAGATAAACAAGAAAGTAATACCTATTCATCAGTGTGTTCTATTTCATTATGTTACACACAATACATATTCACTAATATTGTTATTCACAGACTATAAAATATACCGTCATAAATACCATCATTCCTTAATTTGTTTTAACAATGCTTTCATGATTCATCATTCTAAAACAAATAGTCAAGGAGAATATAGATCATGATCACAGATTCAATGCGTCATTACTTTCTCTCAAAGATGTCATCATGATAAGCTAGAGAAGTCATAACATGCATAGATACTAGAAGAAAGACATGGGACGAGGCAACGTTTTTATTCAAACATAACAGCAGGGGAACTTTCTTAGTCGCCTCACAAATTCCCAAGGATAAAAGCAGCATCCATTAAGGACAAGTTTAGCACTAACTTTTCAGAGTTAAATAATCAAGTGCCTTTTTTTCTAACTAGGCCCATGCTGATAAATCAGCAAGATGGTCAAATGAACTTAATCCACAAGATTTCTTCTAAAAAACTAAGAACCCAATAGTAAAACATGAACCATCTCGACGTGCCGAACCCGCCAAATACCAAATACAATAAAAAGTAGCAAACAAGCATATCACGGTCTCAAGCTTGATCTACAGTACCGTTATCCAAATATGATACAAAAAATCCTAACGAAAACCCTAGATCTACATGATGAACAAATACGACGCAAATTACCCAAAACCTAATGATACTTCAAGAGCACAAACGCATAAATTAGAGAAACACAACATCAATTCAGTCAAGGAAACTCTATAATAAGGATCGATCGGCTAACTCCAAGAGAACACAAGATCCAACCGAGATCAATCCATAAATACAACATCAATAGCCACAAGGCTCACGAAACCGCAACAAATCAAGCAATATCTTCAATAAGAAAACACATTACCTGACTGAATTTGAGAGCATGTTGTTCTCCAGCGAGTTGAAGATTGCCGCTGACGAAGACGAGCACGCCACCGCTAGGGCCAGAAGGCTGGCAATCGACGGTGCTAACGGAGTGTTGGCACTGCTGGAAGGGAAGGCTAGTGAGCTTGGCGACAATATTCTGCGAGCCTTGGATCTTCTGACCTTCAAACGTCAACATGGAATTGTCCTGGTAGAGATTAGCAAGACCGCTTCGATTGGCGTCGAAGGTGGAGTAATAATGATCGACAAATGCCTTAGCCACCGCGTCGGGATCCATCCCCATAACGTTCGATTCTGCCGCCGGTAAACTGCAAAAACACCAACTTTTCTCCGCCCTGCTTGAGAACGACGCAGAGTTTTACAGAGAAAAACCTGGATACGACAGCTTGAGCCGAGGGTTCGAGAGATGGAGGGTTAATTGGGAATTTATAATGTCGACAATATCGAGGGTTAGACCCGTCCGGTTCGTTTCTTTTTTTCTTTTTTTTTTTAAATATAATAAATTTAGGTTTAAATTTTTTTGAGTCCTAAAATTGCGTTTTAAGATTTTAATGGAAGTGTAACAGTTTAGTTTTTATATTTTATAATTATTTAGTTTCAAAATTTTTAAATACTATAAAAATAATATAAAATCAAAATGAATATATTTAAATTCCATAGAATTTTATTTTTTTATTTTTTAACTCTGCAATCGACACGAGCAAAGAATTTCAACTCGTGAATGTAACCCACATCCATACGAACCCTAGACAACACCTCGCTCATGCAAGTGGCACTACTCAATTTCGATCTTATTCAATCTCGATTGCCCGACATCTAAATCTAATTTATTATGTTTGACTCCAACACCCAACCTCATACGATGAACAAAGACCTAGACCTATAAAAATTGACTGACACAATTTTCTATAATTGCATGTAGTTACTCAAATGTACGGCACAACGACGATCCGTTCTTGATTGCATTGATCATAACATCATCCTCTCATAAAAAACTAGGACTACAAAAACAAGTAATCCAACCTTATCGTATACTATTTATTATTTTAAAATTTTATGTAATGGATAATACATTGTTATAAATGAAATAAATATAAATATAAATAATACATTAATTATGAATTATTTATCGTTTTTTTTTTTAAATTTCTCGAACAAAATTTCAATAAACATCCTAAAATAAATAGTTGTTTATATGTATAGAAAAAATGTAATAAATTTTACACGAGTAAATATTTGTAAATTAATCAATAAGAAGTGTAAATTTGCATCTGGGTCAAAATATGCTCGAAGTTATCTGTGGATTTCTGAATGGGATGAGAGTGAATGCCTTCGTAAGTTGTCACCACCACTCCTTCATCTCTTGTTAGCCTTTGCACTTGCTTCTTCACCTTGCACCCCTGGTGTGTGCATTTATAGTAGCTTCTGCAATTCATTAACCAAGCCTTTTCTTACAACATATAATACCAAACAAATAATTCCTATTTCATTCTCTATTCCCACAAAATTTCCCATTTATTCTTACGTGGACGGCGACAAGAATTTTTCGAGTATTGGATTGTCTTTCCCTGTTCGGGTGCAGTGTGGTAAGGGTTCCCCGTCCCTGTCCTCGCCTCCTATTTCATTCTCTATTCTCACAAAAAAAGTTAATTTATTCTTATAGGGATTGAGACGAGAATTTTTCGAGAATTTAGTTGTTTTTCTCTATTAAGGTGCTGTGTGGTAAGGGTTCCCAGTCTCCGTCCTCACCTCCTATTTTATTCTTATTCTCACAAAAACATTTATTTATTCTTACAGGGATCGAGACAAGATTTTTTTGAGAATTGGGTTGTTTTTCTCTATTAGGGTACAGTGTGATAAGGGTTCCTCGTCCCTGTCTTCGCCTCCTATTTCATTCTCTATTCTCACAAAAATTTTCATTTATTCTTACAGGGATCCAGACGAGAATTGGGTTGTTTTTCTCTATTAGGGTGCAATGTGATAAGGGTTCCCCGTCTCCGTCCTCGCCTCCTATTTCATTCTCTATTCTCACAAAAATTTTCATTTATTCTTACAGGGATCCAACAAGAATTTTCCAAGAATTGGGTTGTTTTTCTCTATTAGGGTGCAGTGTGCTAAGGGTTCCCCGTCTCCGCCTCCTATTTCATTCTCTATTCACACAAAATTTTTCATTTATTCTTACAGGGATCGAGACGAGAATTTTTCAAGAATCGGGTTGTTTTTCTCTATTAGGGTGCAGTGTAGTAAGGGTTAGGGCCGGGAAATATAATCCCTGTACCCAATCTTATTTAGCTAATGGAGAGAAATCTCTCTCGACTCTTTCTTTTAATGTTTATATGATTTGTGACGGTTCAAAAACGACATTTCTACTAATAATTGGAGGTATTATTCAATACTTAACCATAAAATTTGACTTTTAAGGGGTTGATTTTAATGCTAAGAAATAATTATTGACTAATTAGGTTACCTTGGGAATTTGTTGTTCTTCACACCCTTCTGTCCATACTTTCTCCATCGATATCCATCATCAAGAATATCAACTTGACTCCTTGTTTGAAAAGCAAATCTCCGGCTTCTCGTCTTCTTTTTCTTATCATTATCTCCCTGTCTCGCCGCCGTCATCTCCGTCGTCTCCGCTCCTCCCTCCACCACCTCCACCGCTGACCCTTTACTAACCGAAACCATATCTTCCTTCATACTACTCCTCGTACCCACAGACATGTAGCTCCCCGACACGTCGGGAAACAACGGAAACCCACCGGAGATGCCCGCCTCCCGGAAATGACTTCCATGGATTCCGGTGGGCTCGGAAGCTCGAGAAATCAGCATTTTCTGGAAAGAGAGGGAGGTTGAAGACGATGAAGCTGAGAGAAAATCTGGGTAACTTTCCATCATCTCTGAGAGAGAGAGAGAGAGAGAGAGAGAGAGAGAGAGACAGACAGACAGAAATGGCGGCTGAATAATACTTTGTTTGAAGTTTGAACATTCGTAAACGGCAAGTAAGANTCAGCATTTTCTGGAAAGAGAGGGAGGTTGAAGACGATGAAGCTGAGAGAAAATCTGGGTAACTTTCCATCATCTCTGAGAGAGAGAGAGAGAGAGAGAGAGAGAGAGAGAGAGACAGACAGACAGAAATGGCGGCTGAATAATACTTTGTTTGAAGTTTGAACATTCGTAAACGGCAAGTAAGAAGGAGATCTCGTTTATAATGACAACATTTTTTTTTTTAATTTTAATTTTAATTTTATTATGTTGCTTTATCCATTAAGCAATACCACGTATTGCCTATACACCCTTAATTAAAATTAATTTATATTATAAAATTTAGATGGGTCTATTAATTTAATTATATATTAATTAAACTCTTAATTTTATAATTAAATTATCAATTCTCACCTTTAAAATTATTTTTATTAATTTACTTGAAGAATAAAAAGTACGTCACATGAAAAACAACGTTGGATTTGTGTTGTGGATATGGGAGAAATTGTTGGAAGTTAAAATGACACGTCAGCAAATTAAGAGAGACTTATTTATTTTGTCGTGTTAGTATGATTAAGGTTATTTTTTTGGCATTACAATAACTTTTAAAATAATTATTGATAAATATATTTTAATAAAATATTTGTCATGTGAAGCAAATTAGTGTTGGATCAATTTCAATTATTTTGAGATATTTTATTTTAATTACTCATATTTAATATTCAAATTATTTTGCAATAATTATTAAAATATATCTATAATTTGCCTCAAAATTAGAGGTTTTTATTTATTTATTTATTTATTTTGTTGATTCTAATTCAATTGTTCTAGAAAAAGTAGAGAACAAGTCTTAAATATTTGAATTTATTTTTAAAAAGTAAATAAATTTTGTGAAAATTAGATAAATTGGGTAAATAAAATTTAATTTGTTGATTTAATGGATTCAAAATCATAATCGAAGTGCCTTTAAAAGAAATATTATTATAATTTTACAATGGGTTGGTTTTGACCGAACCAAAAAGAAATTGTACCTTTGTACTTTTCTTCCCATTTTGATTTATTATTATTTTATAATGATATGTGATTTTTGAGTTATAATATATATAATTAATTATTCAATTTGATTTATTTACAATCAATTTTTTTAGTTTTTTTAAAATAATTTAGTTGAAAATGATTATTAATATGAATGGTTAATCAAACTAAAATTATACTTATTAATTAATAAAAATTAAATTAAAATTTAAGTCACGTTATTGTTTTTATTAATAAATTTTTATAGTAGTATAAGATTTATAAGTATATTTTACTATAACATTTGATTTTTGTAATTAAAATGATAATTATTATAAATAAAAATTAATTAAAATTACTTAAACTAATAAAAATAAAATAATTAACAATTAATTATTTTAAATAAAATTGTGATATCATTTAGTATGCAACATGCGTTATAAAAAAAAATTATTGTTGATATTTTTAATATTTTTTAATAAATTCTTTGGATTCATTCATCGAAACGTACATCAAGTTTTATGTTTTGTGTGAAAGGAACTTTAAGAAAACAAAATACTTTTCTCATTTCACGTTTTATGAGCATTGTTTAATGGACACAATTGAAACGACATGCTCCTAATCGCAAAACGGTGGGCATGTTTTGAATGAACAAAATAAAATATTCCAAAATTAAAAATTAAAAATCAAATTATATTTCCCAATCTTCCATTTATGAATAATATTTTTAAAATATTTTTTTCCCTTTTAATATTGAATTTATGCCTATACTAAATAAAAAATAACAATAGATAAATTTGTAGTCTCTATTTATCTTATGGTTTTAATAATTTAATTCATATATATATATATATATATATATATTAATTAAATATTCAACATTAATATAATATTTGTTTATGATTGAATCAAACAAATTAGAAAATAATTAAATTCCGGTTTGACTTTGAAAATTTTCACTAAACTATATTTCGTGTATGCTAGCATATTTGTAAAAAAATTAAATAATGCTTAAAAAAAATTTAATTATTATATTTAATTTTGTATAAGAAAAGAAAAGTTTATTTAAAGGATTATTTGACGGGAAAGTGAAAAATAAATAGATCATGATAATTCTCTGAATTGCTGGTCGGTTTGAAAAGTCAACAGAATTTTCAACGTTTCAAATTGGGCAATCTGTCCAAATCCAATAGGAAATAAATAAATAATAAAAAAAAAATAGGATGCAATGAATATGGCACTCCACGAAAAGTATTTTGTGTCGCTGTTCATAGTCCATTTTATTTGACCATTAAGCCTATCTCTACCTCCTCATGTTAGAAATTTTTTCACCTCTAGAGATTAAAGTGTTTTCGGGGGTGACAAAATTGAAGTATATTACAAATTTGCCATTAATATAATATATTTGACGTTTTTTTCGGGCTTAAGAGAGTGGAGTTGTTGGATGGCTCTAATACCACATTAAATGAACAGATGTGATATTGTCCACTTGGAAGTCCCACATCGGCTAATTTAGGGAATGATCATGAGTTTATAAGTGAGGAATACTAACTCCATTGGTACGAAGCCTTTTGGGGAAGCCCAAAGCAAAGCCATGAGAGCTTATGCTTAAAGTGGACAATATATACTATTGTGGAGAGTTGTGTTCGTCTAACAAAATGACATATTTTATATAAGGTTCCTTCTCCCATTTGTAATTAAAATATTTTAGTGTATTTTTTTCTATTTGAATTTTCTTATTTCTTTCGACTTCCTAAATAAAGAGAAAGTTACATACATGAACATGAATATAGTATTGCACGTGGTCTTTTCTTCTAGATGGTCAAATTTAACTATGGGCATTAAAATTTATTTTTGAGTAAAAATTATAATTAAAATATTTGGTAAATATCAGCCATCGAGTTACTATAGTTTTAAAATATAACCAAGTTGGAATCATTTTCTCGTGTGCTATAAAAGCTTTTAAAAATAAAATAAGCTTTTACTTGAATTTTAAAAAATTGTTTAAAACATGGATAATTAAATTAGGCCGAAAAAATGTAAACCTTTTCTTTATTTCAAATAAAAATAGTAAAAAATTAGAAAATTTGATGTATGTCATAATTTCTTTAAGACGTCATAATTCTAAGACTTTCCTGTTTATTTATTTATTTATTTATTTTGAAAAGATTGAATATTAAAAATAAAAAATAAAATAAAAGGTGGATAAATCTATTTATCAAATCCACGTGGAAATATTATCTAGGAAATAAAAGGAGATATGTCAAAATACTCGTGCTTGTTTGAAGAGGGATCGGCGGTCAATAGATTGGAAAGTTAGTGAGCCAAAAATGTCTCTTTACACCCCACCAAATTTGACTTTTGCTTTTTATTTATTTATTTTTAAGTAAATTTGTTCTTTTATTATTTATATTTTTATTACTCAAACCATTACTCCAATTATTATTAAAATGGTATTTACTCACGTGGAAGATTTATGAACTTTCGAGGAAGTTACCTGCTAAAAATATTTAATATTTGGAGTTTCGAATTGAATTGAGTTGTATTCTGTCGTGACATTTTTTAAGATCAAATTTTATATATTTTTTTTTGGATTGGATTGATTTGGGTTGTCCCGATAGTTTTTTAATAAAAATAAAATATTTATTTGTAAAACATATATTTATTTATTTTCAAATCTTAATTTAGATTTTGAGGATTTCATCTGCACGATTAGGTTTAGACCGTTCTTCACATCACTCCACAGTCGTATGATACAATCCAATATGGAAATAATCACTCACGGCTATGTGAGATCCCACATAGGTCGGAAAGTGGAACAAAACATTTTTTTTTTATAAGAGTGTGGAAACCTCTCTCCAACAAATGCGTTTTAAAACTGTGAGGCCGACGACGATATATAACAGGCTAAAGCAAACAATATTTGTTAGCGTTGGGCTTGAGCTGTTACAAATGGTATCAGAGCCATCCACTAGGCAGTATGTCAGCAAGGATGGCTGGCCCCCAAGGAGGGTGGATTGTGAGGTAGAACTTAGTATAGGGTGTGGAACACGTTTTAAAATGTTGAGGGAAAACTTTAAAAGGAAAACCTAAAGATAACAATATCGGCTAGCGGAGGGCTTAGGTTGTTATAGACTACAATTTTGTTTCGTTCAAAAGCCTCCTATCAATAGATATATTGTCTCTCATTTATATAAACTGACCGGATCATAATAAAGAAGGTTCGTTGGTTGTATAATTCCCCAAAGTCGTCTACTAGATAGAACAAATGTGAAAATTTTTGGTCCATTAGGGTTACGAGTATCATTTTTAACCTTCGTGTAGCTGTTCATGATAAAAAGTTACTCTAACGAGTATCAAATTCTTATTTTTCAATCGAAATTAATACTTATTGAACTCGGAGGTATCTATAAACAACTTAATAGGTAGGAAATTTTATTTCTCTCACAAACAAACGGATGTCTATTAAACTTTAATCAAAACACAGAGACAATACTTGAACGTTTAAGAAAATACACGAAATTCAAACTTAGAGACTAAACCGATAATTTGAAATTTATTTGGATAAGCCGGAAATAAAGATAGATACATTCACTTACAGTCTGCATCAGTTTTGATCCATTGCTCCTTGTTCCAATCATCATGATCATCATCTGAGTGGGTGCTGGGTTGCTTGAAAATGAGCTTTTTTGGAAAGATCATGATGGACCCTCTATCTCCATTGTTCTTATGAACTCCATCAATGGCTGCCTTCTTCTTTTTGTCATTCTTTTGGGCCTTTTGATCCCACTTTTCTTTCTCCATTGTAGTGATCTCAGGATAAACCTTTCTATTGAACAAATTACGAATCTACGAGCGATTGCAAACGCTTTAGAACGAGAAAGATCAAACAATTCGATCGAAGTTTATGAACTTTAAATCGACCCGAATGTTTTAATTTGATGCATACCTTGGAGAGTTTGGTTTGATCAGTTGAAACAGTTAAGACATCACCAGAAGCTGTTGGATTATGCATCTTTTTCTTCAGCTTTCTTTTGATCAATTGAATCCCATACAGCTTATTATCCCCTTTCTTCTCTACTTGCTTTTGATCATCCTTCTCATCCTCTGATGGTTTGCTTTTCTGAAACAGCTCTCCGAGCGACGTTCGATTCTCCTTCTTTGCCACCGTTGTCGTTTCCGAAAACTCGACCGATGACCCGAACAAATACCCTTGAAGCGGGCAAATGGCAGTGCTGCCATTGTTCTCAGGTCCTTCCAATACTTTACTGTTGGAATTGACAGTGCTCCCGTGGCTGTTTCGTCTTGACCCGGTGTCGTCTTTTGCCTCGGCATCGAGCACCTTCTCTAGCTCTTCGCTGATGAGCTTCAGTTCATTCTCTGTGACTTCGGTTTCTGTTTCAGTTATGTAGTCAATGGAGATGGAGAATTTTGGGGTTGCTGGGTCTGATGAGCCTAGGGTTCCAATGGCAAGGAAGCCAGGGAAGATCTCAGATATAGAGGCTAGTGGTTCATCATCTTCATAGTCTTGATCTAGCCTTGATGAGTTCAGGTCCTTTTGGGCTTGTTTGAATGGTTTATTGATGCTTGTTCTTGGGAAATATTGTTGGTCATCAATGAGTGGTTGGCCTGAAAATTTGACGATTTGAAAGATTTATTGTAACAGCCGAGCCCGAGTCTGAGCCCAGGCTTTCGTTTATGGGTTTCGGCTCAAGGTTTTTAAACGCGTCTACTAAGGAGAATTTTCCACACCCTTCTAAGGAATGTTTCGTTTCCCTTTTCAACCAATGTGGGATCTCACAATCCGTCACCTTTTGGGGGCCAGCGTTCTCGCTGGCACACCCCCGGTGTCGGGCTCTGATACCATTTGTAATAGCTTAAGCCCACTGCTAACAAATATTGTCCTCTTTAGACTTTCCAATCCGGACTTTCTCTCAAGGTTTTAAAACGTGTCTATTATAGAGAGAGTCTAGTCCTACTACCGGTGTCTCGCACCCTCCGATAATCTGGCTTTGATACCATTTGTAACAACCCCAGCCCACCGCGAGTAGATATTGTCCTATTTGAGTTTTCACTCCTGGACTTTCCCTCAAGGTTTTAAAATGCATCTACTATAGAAGAGGGTCTAGTCCTATTCTTGGAGTCTCGCACCGTCTAGTAACTTGGCTCTGATACCATTTGTAAAAGTCCAAGCCCATCGCTAGTAGATATTATCCTGTACTTTCCTTTCTTAACTTTCCCTCAAGGTTTTAGAATGCGTCTACTATGGAGAGGGGTCTAGCCCTACTACCAGTGTCTCGCACCGTTTAGTAGCCTGACTCTGATACCATTTGTAACAGTCTAAGCCCAACGCTAGCAGATTTTCTCTTTTTTGGGCTTTCCGTTCTAGACTTCCCCTCAAAGTTTTAAAATGTGTATGCTATAGAGAGGGTCTAGCCCTACTCCAACCAGTGTCTCGCACCGTTCAGTAGCCTGACTCTGATACCATTTGTAACCGTCCAAGCCCAACGCTAGCAAATATTGTCTTTTTTGGGCTTTTCATTCTACGCTTCCCCTCAAAGTTTTAAAACGCATCTACTACAGAGAGGGTCTAGCCCTACTCCGACCAGTGTCTTGCACCGTCCGGTGATTGACTCTGATACCATTTGTAACAGGCCAAGCCCACCACTTGCAGATATTTACCCCGTTGAGCTTTCACTCAAGGTTTTTAAAACGCGTTTGTTAAATAGAGGTTTCTACACCCTTATATGGAATGCTTCGTTCTCCTCACCAACTGACATGAGATCTCACGTTTAAACTTATAAAGTTCATGAGTTCACGATGCCATGATATAGATTAGAGCTATTACCAATGACAAAATCTTTGTGGGGATCGCCGCTGTTTTGCCTGAACTTGCGATGCATCCATCCTAATAACTGATCAATTTACAAGAGAAGTTTAGGCTCAAAATTAGGATAGTTCTTACAAAGATTCATCAAAGAATGAACTCTTACCTTCATCTTGTGTTTGTGTGGAGAAGATTTCTTGAAAGGAGAGCTTGAGGAACACTTTCTTTAATAGAATGAGAAGATTTGTGGAAGGATGGAAACATATAGATAGTACCATATTTACGATTTTCGTTGCTCTTGGAATTACGTGTTAATTAGACATTAGGGGCCTCGATTCTGGGTCCCGAAAATGTGCTCTTTAGTTTGTTCTATTTCGAGTCTTATCTTCTTTGAATCATTATTTATGAACTGATTAAGACGTGTCGAATGAGCGATTGGAATGGTCCAAATTGATCCACTTTCATGTTCTCGATAAACCTCTCCCCTATCGCTACATGTTCATGTCATGGGTTTCTTCTTTCTTTGAGTTGGCTACCACCATCTAAGTCATGAGACATCGCTACATGTTATGAATCATGTGGGTAAGTGTGGACAAAACATGTTGAAAAGACTCGTGATGGATAATCTTCATTCTTAATATCAATTTTGGGTAACATGGTCATCTCGAAAGGGATACAGGGGAATGCCGAGACCATCAGATATTGAATCTTATATACTAAATCCTGATTAGAATCTTGAACATAACACGTTACATATCATACCAGACCAAATCATGTGAGGAAGCTTGTCCTCACTTTTCAGGTTCTTTCAGCTCATCATTTCTAGCCTTAGTTTTTTCACAAGAAAACCAAGGACTAAGGACATAAACAACGAGCCACAACAAAATTAAAGGCTCGAAAGATGTTGACAAAAGAGCATATTCAAATAAGGGTTTGGTACTCAATGTCCCCAATGGTCGTCTGTACCTAGACATTGCACAACACGACATCGGCATAGTCTCGTAACTAAGACATGAACCTAGGAACATAAGGACATTGACAAATGGGTATTGATTTTTTTGGAAAAGAAATGTTAGGGATTACCAACTCTCATCATATCTCTATATTGATATCATGTTCTCCAATTTTGAATATACGTTCTTGTGATTTTTCTTTTCACTTTAGCTACAACGTATGTTTATAATGATATCATATTCTCTACTTTTGGTATAAGTGCCTCTATAACGATAATATATTCTCTAGGTTCGAGTATAAGCTATCGGATTTTGCTTTTTGGTTTCACCCTCGACATATCTCTAATAATGATATCATATTCTCCACTTTTGAGTGTAAGCTCTCAAGAGTGGAACATAGGGTGGATTGATTCCGAAAAGAATTTAGCTAACTAATCTCGATAGTTCATTAGTTTGAGGTACGCCTAACGATGAAGCTCGATTAAGCATGACTAAGCAAGCTTTACTCGTCCAATATCATGAAGAGTAGAGGATAGGAGAAGATGAATAGTTGGATGATATTGAAGTGACTAATGATGTGTATTACCCTCTTCATGCTTCGTTGGCAGACTCCAATTGTCTTTATTTTCACCCTAACATGATATGCTCATCTTTTTAGGGTCTTTTTTTGGTAAAGGAATTTGATGGTTGTTGGTATCTTCTTATCCATTTCATTGGGATCAAATCTTCTAGACCCATGTGGGGTTAGATGCCTTTAGACGTTTAGACATTTTCTATGTGTTACATTGTAATTGAAAAATCACTTTCTAAATTCGAACGATGTTTGGATTCCAAATCTTGGTCTAAATCCTCAGCATGAAGTATTATAGTATTTTTATTGGGAGTGGCGTTAATCTATCGTGGGTCTCGTCATGAAAAGGTATCAGATCTATTTCTTTCTCCCAATGTTTGTTTAGTCGTGTAATGAGAATGTCATATGTCCTTAGTGTGCGTCATGTCGAGAGAAAGTAGTTCTTCAAAAGTTGTCAAAAGTATGATATCACATGACGTAATCAACGTACCGTAAGTGACTTAGAGTCTCGAGGGGAAGAAGAAAAGATTAACCTTCATATTCAAGCCTACCCAAGGTTGGAAGAGTATATACAATTCTGCCCAAACTACTCACCCCGGCCCAGCCCAATACAATTCTACCCAAAACCACTCACCCCGGCCCCAGCCCAATAAAATTATACCGAATCACTCACTTCGGCCCAGCCCAATACAAGTCTACTAAACCACTCACACCGGTCCAGCCCAAAACCATTGTACCCAAGTCCAGCCCAATACAATTCTACCAAACCACTCTCCCCGGCCCACCCGAGCCCAATATAATTCTACTCGAACCAATCACCCCGACCCAGCCCAGCCCAATTCTACCCAAACCACTCACTCCAGCCCAGCCCAATAATATTCTACCCAAACCTCTCACTGGCCCAGCCGAATACAATTTTACCCAAACCACTCATTCCGGCCCAGCCCACCTTAATTTTAAAAGAAAAGATATCATCGGTGTTTTGCCCTAGCCGCCTGCCCTCCCTTGCCCAACTCAAAACCGGTGTTTTCTCAATATTTGAGATCGGTTCGGTTCTATAATACTGGTTCGGTCGATTTCTAAAACCGATAAACCCCAATTTAACTCTTGTTCGAAGCCCTCCGGCTCCGATCGTTCGAAGTTCTCCTTCGGCCTCTTCTCAAATTTGCCTGTTTCTTCTCTGAAAATCTTAGAATTGCCTTAAACCCTAACTATTACACTGACCACAACCTCTGTTTCGTGAAGTTCTGGGTAAAGGATGCAGCACGACGAGGTGATATGGCAGGTCATCCGCCACAATCACTGCAGCTTCATGGCCAAGTCGGTTTTGCTTCTTTTCTTTCAGCGTTTGAACTTTTTTTCTTTTTCGTACGCTTCTTGTTTCAAATGTGTTATTTCATTTTCTCTTTTGAAATTTTGACTGGTTTTGGTGTTCTGTAGGATTTCAACGGGGAATTTCTGCAGAAACCCTTATAATGTAACTGGGATATGTAATCGGAGTTCATGTCCATTGGCTAACAGTCGCTATGCTACTATTCGCGATCATGACGGTACTACCTATAGCTCATTATTTCCATTTTGGTCTCCTCGTGAATTGTTGCTGCTCTGCTTTTATTCTCTCTATTTTAGCGCAGTCTTACTTGTATTGTTAAAAAACTCTCTTTTGCACTCATGGATTGATAAAAGTGAATCTTTGTAGCTCTAGTTGTTATTAATATTATTGCCTGCAGAAGTAAATTGAAGAGTGATCCAGAGTCGCTTCACATTTTTGAAGAATAAAAGAAAAGGAAATGGTTTCATTGACTATCCTACTTATACGCTAAATATAATTCTATTGTTCCTCCAGGAGTTTTCTATCTTTATATGAAAACAATTGAAAGAGCACATAAGCCAAATGAGTTGTGGGAAAGAGTTAAGTTACCCAGAAATTATGAGAAGGCACTGGAAATTATAGATAAACATCTGGTAAGTAATCATCTTAGTTACTTATGGTCAACATTTTAGTTTATCTATTTGATTCTCTTTTATAAATTCCTTAACCTATCTTTTATGTCCCCTATCTTTTATGTCCTTCAACAGATGTATTGGCCTAAGATACTTGTACACAAAACAAAACAACGATTGACTAAGATGACCCAAATGCGGATACGAATGAGAAAGCTTGCTCTGAAAACAAGGTTTGCTTTTGTCTGCGCATTTATTTCTTTCGGAAATGGAAGCTGTTGTTCTATCTATATTCATACATGGGTATTTGATAACCTTCATTTTGTTCATCTCTTTTGCTTTTGTCATTCCGATTGATAACTTGATAGAGAATATACGTGTTTTCATCGAGTCTCTTCATCCATTCCTCATGTTCTATATTGTCACTTTGAGAATTGTGCATATTGAAGAATTGTAGTCTTTCATTTCCTTAATCATGTATTGTGCATCTAATCAGATGCATTAATGAGAAGCAGTGTATTATAAATATTTACAAGGTTATATTTTGTTTATATTTTTGACCATATATCACTTCAATTACCAAACAGGGAGAAAATAATGACAACACCCAGAAAAGAGATTAAAAGAGAAGCCAGGAGGGAGCAAAAGGCTGAAAAAGCAGCATTGTTGGATAAGGTTGTACCTCAAATATTTATGTTGAAAATTTGATATATCTTTATATTGAAACTAATGAACTCTTTTTTGTTTCTGCTAGAAATATTTTCCTTGACTGAGTAGTTAGTGTGGGGAAAATGAATCTAATATGTACTTTTTTTGCAGAGCATTGAAAAGGAACTACTGGAACGGCTTAAGAAAGGAGTGTATGGTGATATATATAACTACCCTGTCGAAGCATATAATGAAGTTCTTGAAATGGAAGAATTGCAGGCTGCCAGTGAAGAGGAGGAGGTAGTGTTGCAAAATTTATTGGTACACTTGCCCTTCTCATTCCTTGAGGGATGATTCTGGGACTTAGATGAATGATTTTTATATTCCATCATTTGATAACTCGTATTTTTCCTTGGAATATGCAGGAACCTGAAATTGAATATGTTGAAGGGTATGAAGAATTAGAAGAAGAAGAAGATATGGAAGATTTTGGTGGCCTTGCAATCCATAATCCAGAAGCAGATGAAGATAGTGGTAATACAGTTTAGAATTTATAATAACAAATGGTTTTGAACTCTCAATAAATCTTTGTTCTCGTTTCTATTTGTGAGATCCTACGTCAACTGGAGAGGGGAGTGATGCATTCCTCATAGGGCATGGAAGCCTCTCCCTAGTAGACGCGTTTTAAAACTGTGAGGCTAACAGCAATACGTAACGGGCCAAAACAGACAATATTTACTAGCGGTGGGCTTGGACTGTTACAAATAGTATCAAAGTTAGACACCAGATGGTGGTGTGGCAGCGAGGACGCTGGGTCCTCAAAGGGGGTGGATTGTGAGATCCCACATTGGTTGGAGAGGGGAACTAAGCATCCCCTTCTAAGGGTGTGGAAACCTTTCCCTAGTAGACACGTTTTAAAATCATGATGCTGACAACAATACATAATAGACTAAAACGGCCAAAACGAATAATATGGATTTGTGCTATTACACTATTAGAGATGTATGATCTCTATTCATTTGGATAATATATACCTAGATCTTGCAATACCAAAAGGTGGTCTTTGTCCTGGCTATAATAGGTGCATAAAAAGTGGG